CGGGATTCCTGCAAACACTGGTGTCATCTCGCACGACTGGCAATACCAAGCGAGTTTCTTTCCTATGTTGCATGACGGCAAGCCGGGGTTCGAGTGGTGGGTTGTCGAGCCGGGCTGGGAAGGAAAGCCGCTCCCTGATGATCCCAAGGCTCATGTAGCAAATATTCTGCAGGGCTGGTCGGATCCCATGCGGCAGCTGGTGGAGGCCACTGATTTCAATACGCAAGTATATCGGTGGGACATCTACAATCGGCCATCGATGAAGAAGTGGTCTTCAGGAAGAATTGTGGGTGTGGGAGATGCGGTGCACCCTGTTTCGCCATATGCGGCGTACGGAATGGGCATGGCCATCGAGGATGGTTATTATCTTGCCAAGGCGCTCGACGGAGTTGATCTACGGGATTTAAGGGCTGTCAACGCGGGCTTTGAGTTGTTCGAACGACAGCGTGTGGACTATGTCAATCATCACATGGAGTTTGCTAGGTTTTTGAGTTATGTGTTCCATAACTTGCCTTGGCCATTGGCGAAACTGAGAGACTTGGTGTTTGATTATACACCATTTTTGAAGACATTGCTGCAGAAGTCATATTTGAAAAAATCGGAGGATGAGACAATGCATCTGAAGGAGCTTCATGTCGTTTAAGTCTGTTTGTTTACTATAGCTCTTTCTTTGTTGGTAGTAGATCAGCAGGGTCGGTGTATAATAGAGTGTTCCATTGATGATGGAACCAGAAGCCTCAGCAGAAGCATCCTTGGTACCTAACAGACATGATAAGTTCATGACTCCATTATTCCACATCCATACTAATGCGCGGACTGGCCTGCTTTGGTGCGTGGCAATAGCGGCCACACCGAGATCACCGACCCATCCAGAAAAAGAGTCCCTGATTCTTTTCAATCAGTGAATCCCTGCAAGCAATGTCATGATAGACACGTCTACCGAGAAGGATCAACAAGGTGTCCACTACATGGAAATCGGGAGAATATAAAATTATCTATTGTGCTGTTATCCAGACTGGCAACAACTGGACCCTCGTCACGGGTACCTGACCCCACTAAAAGTCTATTCTCCCATCTTGGCTTCCTTTTTGGGTTTAGACTGACCGGTCTGGGGCTCGAACCACACATTGTGACACCAAACAGTGGTGACAAAGCAATGTGGCAACACTGCTTGCCTTTTTCGCTTCGCCGATGTTCAAACTCTGCTATACATCCAACTCACCATCATGTGCATCCGCAGATGAAGCCCTGCTTGATGGTTGTTAGCCTTTCACTCCGCTCACCCTAATCCCAAGTCCGTGAGCATTGTCATCAAATTCGCAGCATGGTTTCCAGTGGAGAATATACCCTAAGAACTTGGCTGGACGATCTATCGAAGTCACTGTATTGCGCTTCCCAATACACATGACCTCCGATCGGACGCCTTCAGAAGTCCCAGCTAAAGGTAATTTACCCCAGTCAACTACCGAGGTAGACTCTCGAATTAACTTCTTAACCTGCTAGACTGCCAAGTCTGCAGAACCCGTCGGATCTCCTGTGATAGAACGCTCCCCCATTGTCGAAAGTGTACTTCACGGAAACTTCGATGTCCTGGATACGGGATCAATCTACGATGGGGCCAAGGTGTCGCAAGCAGGGGTAAATTGACAGGACAGGCAATACCTGTCCGAAGGGACTCCCAGATATCACAGAAGACTTTTCATCCCCGTGCAGTCATCGCCGTGCCCAATGTGGACCTCCAACTACCGGCCCGTTGGCCCGGCTTGCCCTTCGACAGTCTTACTGCTCAATTGCTTGACCACTTCGATCGAGGCGTCGCTACAAGACTAGCGTGGGTGGATGACCTTCACAATCCTTGGAGAAGCTTAGTATTACCTCTGTCACACGACTCATCAACCGTACGGTACTCGGTGCTTGCTCTCGCTTCGAAGGACCTTGCGGCCAAGTATCCAGCAGACCATCATTGGGCACAGTCACTCCAAGCCATCTCCCGTCATAACCAAAATGTGGCCTTGTCTTGGTTATCAAGGGACATGAGACACCTACTTCAGGATCCGACCGCGGTCCAAAGCAAAGATCAAGCGAGACATATCCTCGCTTCTGCTCTCCTTCTCTACAACCTTGAACTCCTAACAGCTCCGGCTGCTCAATGGCGAATACACATACAATGCGCCCGGGAAATCATCCAGTGGAACTTACAATCCGCCAGCAGTGCACTGTATGCGAACGTGGCCGATGTATTCCTGTTCTACGAATACTACTACACGTCTGTCTACATCGGATTAACAACATTCGACCCTATCGATCAGCTACAAGATGACTTCCCAACCCACGACAATGTCACAATATTCAGTGACTTCATCCGAATAATGCATAGCGTCACCCGCGCCGAGCGACAAACCTACACTACGCAGCCCATCTCGCACCCCGTCCCGATCGAATCCACACTACTAGACATAGAAATTGCCAAAGCACGGATGATGCAGATGAGCCACACAATTAAGTTCAAATCAGACCAAGCACGACAGGATTTCGAATGCCTAGTAGACATGTTCTATCATGCCACGCTTATCTATACCCACCGTGTCTTTTCCGACAGCGTATCCCCGGATGAATGCATACAATCTTCACTCGATGTGCTTCTCGAGCACGTGCTACCCCTATCATGCAGCGCCGCCGTCACGCAGGACTTGGTATGGCCTCTCTTCATCACAGGCACAGAATCCAGAGGCAACCCACAGATGCAGAACACTGTCGAGACGGCCATGATGAACGTGATCAGATTGAGTGGAAACCTTGATCGGAGCCGCGTTCTTTCTTTCCTCAAGACGTTCTGGTCATTGGATCTCGAACCTGGTACAACCTGGATCCAGTATGCACGGGACAGGTGTATCGACTTTAGCTTTTTGGTAATTCTTTGAATGCAGCTTTGGACTATTCCAATGTGTATTCCTGTGTTATATATACTATTATCGGAGGTATCATGAGGATGATATATAGAAAAAGGTAGCTGCATAATATACTATTATATCTGTGCATTACTGGACCTGGCTACATATATCTGTAAAGAGTAATGTTAACGACAGTGATTACATTAGCACACTTTTGGGGAGATTGGTCGTTTTCTATAACCAGTGTAAGCTTAGTATCTTTCTCTTACAGCTTAGCTCGTCTTGGTAGGCGGGAAACACATCATCATTACGACCTGGAAGATGCAGTATGCTATAATATGGCTATTGACGCAAGCATTTTAGCAGCTTCTTGATTATCAGGCTACACATGATAGATAGATGCGGGTGCAAGGCTGTTACTTGGTTTGAAATCGGTAATGAGTGTGAATGTACGAAATTTGTAAGGTTGAAGATGTGTTTCATTCTTTGGTACGCTAGAACTTTAGAATCGCTCACATTGCCGCAATATACCTTCCTCGTACTGAATCATGGATTGCTTCATTGTCCGATTCATTGGTCTTATCCTTGGCTTATGGTCTTATACAATATCCCCGATAATCAGAAAGGGAACCATGACAAAACCGGAATTGGAATATATCGAAGCAAAGAACCGAGAAGATACTATATAGGAAGAAGTAGTAAGAAGATGTGCAGGGCTCTGTTCGAAAATGCAGTAACTGACTTTCTGCAGAGCCATCACGAACGCAAACATAAAATTGGACCAATTGGCCCACAACGGGAGCACGGTTGATTCCTCTGCTGCTTCACAGTCGACCATAAACTGAATCTGATTGATTCGAACCGGGCAGTGGTTTGGCAGAAGAGGGGCGAGAAGAAGATGAGGACTGCTGAGACTTGACTCCGTTGACTCCGGAAAAGAAAAATCACATAAGAGAATAAAGAACGGACTACTACTTCGATCTCCAATAGTCTCGGTGCCGTCTTTCAGTCAACCAGCTAGCCTCTTGCTGTAGCAGAGGCCTGTCAAGGAAGAGAGAGACAGAAAATACTTGCTTGAAGCTTCTCAGTTCTCGCTGTTCGTGAAATTCAGTCTTTCTGAAGCTTAAGAGTGAGATACTCCATGCAAGATAGTCCGGATCAAACTACCGGTATGGGAGAGCGAAAATGTTATGTTTGACAAAGTAGGCAACGTTGAGACTAGAATCGTTCTCAGTCAGTTTGAATGCTTTGATCATCCTAGTGAGGCAGGAAAAGCACTTACAGTCTCTCGTTCTTTGCGCGGACTCCGCACAAACGTCCCTGCAACTCGAAGTTGTTCTTCGCCAACCAATCTCGGACCCAACTCTTTGACTGACGTTCCCCGGGAATGTAGGTAAATGTAAAGATCAGTCGAGAAACTCGCGACGTCCTCCCAGACTGTACCCACTGAGGCCAGTATGGTAGAAATCATGTCTGGACGAAAGGCGGGGGCGGTCGCTTCATCTTAGGGCTATGCGAGGTCGGCTTCGAAATTGCGGTCGCCATAGTAATTCCTCCTCGCAAACATAAACTCTGGTGTAAGAGAGATCCAGTGGCGCAGACCAGTTGTAGCCCACATAAAGGGGCCTGTGCATTGCAGCCGGTGGCATTCCATTACCAACATAAGTTGAAGCTGACATGATCGCAGGGGATGACGTATCTGCGCTATATTCGGTGAAGGAAAAATGGACGTAATCGACTGAACATAGGGAGGAGGCCGACCGTAAGGCTGTACTTGCGCTCTCCTTTGCCTGCTAGAAACAGCCTGCTTTTGGCGTTGCGCTTGAGGCTGCGCTAGATGATGCATCCAGCTTAGAGAAAGATCGTATGTCATCTTACGGCTCAATGTGTGAACTCATCAACATCATCTGCCTTAATCGGAGCAAAGTGATATTGATCCGTTCAGCAGGTAGTGTAATGTTGCCTTGCTTCTGTATAAGATGCGGTTCTTGAAGTTGCCTCAACGCTCGCCCGCAGAAAGATAGAACTGGGCTTGATTCCTCGCTACCAGAGCGCCATAGGCTGGTGCTCTCCGGCTCCTGAAATCCGCCACAGGCATCCTATGCGCAATCATTCACGCTCATAATAAAACCTTCCACTTCCATTTCTTCGTCCTCAAGGAAGCAATTGCGGAAGCTCTCCAAAGAGAACTCCAGCGGATTCTCAATGGGCTCTTCAACATCAGCCAGTGTTACCGGCCAGTGGTACTTGAACAATGTATAATCACTGGGCACGATAATGTTATCATACTGGCCCCCGCCGTTTATAGATATCGTTCAGTTAAACCCCAAAGTCGATAATGAGGTTTAGCTGTTCTGATATACATGATCGCTACTCCGTATTCGATCTTCTTTGGCCCATGAGACGCGTATCTCTGCGACGTGCTTGTCCAAGACGTTTTGTGTCGCAAACCCTTGGTAATGATGCTGACATTCAAGGACACTACACTTGAATGCCCTACCCAAGGCTGCACTAGTCATCCGTGCATCGGTCGGTTCTCCTGTCTGCGCCTTGGAAAATGACGTGAAACGGGTGTAGCACCAGCTTTGGGACTGCTTGCGTTTCCTCGCGATAGGAAGTTTCAATTGTTCCGGAAACATACTACCCGGGCCATAAGCATGATAAACACCTTGAGGCCGCTTGCAACAGACATCGATGTCCTCATCACAATGCTCGTGGTCCCTTTCTTCCCCAACCTGCTGTTGTTCATCCGTCAAAAGGACTATATAATTTCTCGTGGCCACCACTCTAATACTGCAACCCCCGAGGACCGCGATGTGACATAGGAAGTCAAACAAAACACATAGGCGGTTTGTGCAGCTGCTCCCAGTTATACGTGCGAATCCGATAGACGCCATACATTCCAGACTCGTTGAGAGATGCAAGGGGATTGGTCGAGATACAGTATTGCTCCTTCAGCGCGGAAGCTAGCTGTAGGTTCATGGAATCATCTTTGCTCGATGATTCGATTGCAGGAGCGACTTATCATAAATGCCATGGCGCCAGCAGAGTGACATGAACGCTGTGGAAGAGGGACCAGCAGTAGCCACTATAACATTCATCACTTCATGAATTGGTATCAAATTGTCAGAAAAACGCTGACATATATGATAGATGAAAAAAGATCGTTTATCGGTGGACGACATTATCGACACTCGCTGCTGTCTTGATGTGACATGAGGTAAACAGCCGGCCCATTGCAGATGACAGACATGTATATACAAATGGGTCGTAGCCGTAGCTGTATATTCGCCGCTACAGATTGGAAGGATCGGACGCTGAATTAGCCGACTAGAACTGGCGGAAGACCAACTTGTTCGGTTTCATTATGTTCTTCCGCAACAGCAAATTGCCACGTTACTTCCCTAAGAAAGCTTGAAAAATGTTTTCGGTATCAAGAATAGTTGGTGGCCGGTCTCTTATAGATAGTACATTGCAAATAATCCCAACACAGTTACAAGCTGACGTTGTAGCGAATGGCATTCTTCAGACAGCTCAGGCAAGGCAGGTTGCTACAGTTTTGCTAAAACTGAAGGCCGAACTCCACGATGTTGGGGGTACATGTATACCCGCTTATTGCGTTGGTGTCATGCGAGCAACAATCCCCTGTAGTATGGGAGCTTCAATAGATGCTTTTGTTTCGAATTCCGCGTACGGTAGGGCATCATGTAACGGAGCAGAGGACATAGCACAAGTAGTAGCTGATTCTTTGAATGATGCAGTAAAGAGGCCTGCTAAATGAGAGACGAGGAAACCGCGCCCTGAAGATATGCGATTGCTTCAGGTTATTGAAGCGGTTATACTTGAACGTTGCTGCCTGGAGGTGCCATTCAATGGGAATATCCCCTTCAGACATTGCAGCAAGGCAGAATAGGAACTCTCCAGGGTCAAGTAGGGCATTAAGTTCTCGGGCATACCAGGCGGACATGAGTAGGAGCTCGGAATGGCTGAGAAGTAAGTCGGTGTAACGTGCCATCACCGGAGAAATTATTTGTTTGGATGGAGTTTCGAACTCATAGATATGTAGTAAGCCAAAGTGATTGCACCCAGCGTCTTCTATCGAGCACGTAGCAGCCTTGCTGAACCGTCCCTTATAAATGTCAGGGACACCAACGATGATCTGATATGATCACAAGAGCTGCTTATGTTGCTAAGCCTTGTACGCTTAGACGGCTTGGTGTATGCCTGTGATGTTGATTTGTCCCGGACGTAGTGTGTAGTGATAAGTGCAACTCGCATCGATCATGCTAGTGGGCTTTGTAAGATGATGCGAGCTGGTCAAGATCGCGTGTAGTGTTGTCCCAAAAATCTCGCAGACTCCGGTAGAACTCCAGCTCTCCAGAGCAAGCTGTGGTATAGCTGTCTCCTAGCAATCTACCCAACTAGCATCACGGTCAACGGCAGCAGTAAATATGTTCGCGACCGTCTTGTTAACTAGGAACACTGCCTCAATCTGGTCAGAGTTTACTCCTGATAAGACGCGCACTGGTGAAAAGAGGTGGCGCGACGTACCATTTGAAGTACTGGTAAGCTCAGGGAATCAATCGGGGATCTTCTTCGACTAGCTGAAGACCCGATAGTGCCCGTGCATGCCAAGTCGTATATATCGGGGGTCACATCGTTGTAGACTCAGAGACCCTTCCGAATTCTGCCCATTCTCATTCGGCCTTTTGTAATCTGACCATTGATCATATGTTGCCTTGACTAGACTGCTGCAAGGGCATGGATTGCTGCAAGGCGTTCCCTTAGTTGGAGCCCGAGTATCGGAGTTGTCATGATGATCAGCCCACCGCAGTGAATCGATACGTGAGATCTCCAATCGCCTTTGGCCGTTGCTGTATAAGACTAATTGCGTAGAAAGAATGTATTCGCAACACTCTGCCTTCGTAGAACAGAATATATAATAGGTTGCCTGCCAATAACCGAAGGCCAAGGAATGGCGGGCGGGCAGATGTTTGTGCTGAGTGACTGCACAGAGTGACTTTGTTTTTTTATAAAATGATTGGGTTGAGTTTTGATATTTGAACATCAGGGAGGCTTGAAAAAGAACTGTTGAACTTGAAAAGCTCCGGGTGTTCTTAACGGTCATACAAAGAATGTGAGCTTTCTATATTGCGCTGAAGGAGAGTCTGTGCCCCTTGTTCTTTGCCAGAGCCCCAGACAGTTTAGAAGCGCTGGACCATATAGTTGCCAGATGGCGGGGTGTGATGACGTTGTTTAGCAGCACCAGGCCAGCCAGTATGGACGGCAGTATATAGCGCCCAGTATGTGTTTCATGGTTTTATTAGAACCCTGTTGGACTTTGAGTTTGACAGAAGCAACGGAGCGATTGTGTTGCGGGTGTCCATATATAGAGCCCCAATGTTATTCTCCAGTCATTGATGAAAGGACAATTGGGGTTTCGGGAGCTTATAGCGATAGTCGGGCAGTCTGATCAGCCATAGCCAGCAAGACCAAGCTGGTATGTGGGAATCTTCAGCTATAATTGCTGAAGGATGAGCTCGTCATAGGAAGCAGGGTCAAGCATGTCGCTAACCGCACTCATTGCTACTTATAGCTCGCCAACGCTCGGGGCCCGCTCGTAGAAGAGCAAGGGTATCATAGCCCTGTCCCTCCAGCAAACCTCGCGCACTCTGTCCGTTCTGTTGTGTGAGGATCTTATGACCAGCGATCCAACATTATATCGGAAGTAGTAGCAGAGCGACAAAAGCAATGTGAGAGTCAAATCCATTGCCAGAAGTCAACTGCTCCAAACCAGAAGCACAGTCAAGGAGCGTAAATGGAGAAAATAACCACCATGGTGGGAAGACGACCGCAGCAGTCTGATGAGTGTGTCGTCATCAAACTATCAGGTGATATAAGAACTTGGGAAGGGTATATAGGAGATGAACAGCGAGACATGTATGTGTGTGGCAGGCAACGGTGGGAAGAGTCGAGAAGTACCAATATATGTAGAACACATATCGCACAAAATAGTCCGAAAAATGAATGATGGGATCGTAATTTTGAATCCTCGATCATATATGCAAAGCATATATCAAGCATGACATTGTGTCGGACTTGTGACACAGAGACAATAAGGGAGGGTTGTCTGTGATCTGGGAAACCGCACACCGACGATGCAGGAGTCGAAGAACCAAATATAACATCAGTGGCAAATAATCCGATACCACACACAAGACATAGTAGAACTTATGAGGAAGTGAAGTGAAATCACAACATCCATCATGAATGAGTGAGATGCAAACACGATGACGTAGGAGAAGAAGTGAGAAGTGGTCACAAATGATAGTGTTGCGGGAGTAGCGAGGGCAATATTGACTTTATGTGGAAACCCTCACGACCACTACCCGCCGCCATCACCACACACCACAAGCACAGAGATGCACATGTGACATATAAAGGAACGTGCAATATAATAAAATAAGAAAGACTAAAATAAAGAAATGACGACAAAAGGTCACGGACCCATAAATGTCTTCGATGCAACGGGCGGCTGCCGGCAAACCCGGATCGTTAGCGTTACTGTCGTACACTTCGCCTGAAACTCGTTGTTGATCCAGGACCGATGAGTTCCTGGTCATGCTCGAGGTTCAACGTATGTTTGTTGTCTTCGAAAATGGAGACATAGTTGAGCTGAATATATAGTCAGTGATGACTAACCCCCTCCCGGGGGTGGTAACCAGGAGGGCAGATGCATGAGAGAGAATGAGAAAGGGAAAAACTTCCAGCAGGGTGCAGGGAGATTATATAGCTTTCTAGGAGGACGCTAAGTCACGTTACAGGAGGCAAATCCAGCACCTTTTCCACGGAGATGGCCAGCTGATGACGCAGACTCCGGCTGCCGGGGGGAGGGGGACAGGGTTCAATTACTACTTTGCCTGCCAGACAAAAGGAAAGGACCGGAGAAAGAGGACTGGGTGGAGAGGGTGGAGCATCTAGTGTGAAGAGAAGAGCCTATCATTGAGTGTTTCTATCTCGTAGCATCATTAAATCCAGGGATACATGGTCCGGCATCATCCCAGATGAGCATCTTAGACCGTTCCAGCCTGCGCCTTCTTCCTCCGGAAGAGATACTGTAGGTTCAAGACCAAGGTCTGGACCCATGACGCCGCTGCCAACGCACAGATGGCCGTGAGGCCGTGGATGTAAAGGGGGGCGTCCGAGGATCGAAAGATCTGGGCTCCAGAGATACCGGAAAGGTTGGCGGACATGACGATCAACCTATTTTTGCCACCGTATTAGCACGTATTACCTTTATGGAATTAATGAGGGTATGTGTAACACGTACGCCATGGATATACTCCGCTCTTGGGGTGTTTTGCAATAGAAGGAAAGCCACCCAACGTTGAGAACACTATCCACATTAGCATATAAGCATCCAACGGGATATCTGAGGGAGACCAAAGGGGACATACTGCATACTACAGTAGGCTACATTAGCAATAGCAATGACCGAATACTTGTGCCAGCTTGATGCATCTGTAGGACTGGTGCGTAGACACGCATACGAAATGACGTTCCACGTGATACAGAGGAGGACGAAAGGCCCCCGATGCCCGATTTTGTCCCTGCAGCAGTCAGCATCCAACTTCCCCCACCACAGGACCCGTGTCACATACGAGGAATAAGCCAGAATCGTCGTCCAGACAATGCTAGCATACACTGGTACTGATGCCAGGGCATTTGCTCGCACGGCACTGAATCCAAAGGACTTGATCATGCTCGGAGTGTAAGTGTTCAGACCCTGGAAGCCGGACATGGCCACCAATGTGATGAACATATGCTGAAGCGTCGTGGGTTGCGTAACAGTCATCCAGATATCCCGGCCAGTGATCTTGATGTGTTCTCGCGTCTTTAGAGGGTCGTCAAGCAGGACACGGTCGATGATAATGCGCTTCTCACGAGGGGAGAAGTAGCTCCAGCGACCCATGCTGATGAGAGGACTTCCATCACCTGCCCTCTTGGGAATGAACATAATGAACAGAATAGCAGCGAAGATGGTAATCAGGCCCTCAACTACACACTGTTAGCTCTCCTCATTTACTCATGCGGCAGCATAGGGACACTTACCCAGGAAGATCCACCTCCACCCAGCAAGCCCACACTTTCCATCCAGCTTCAACAAGCCAGCCGAGATCAGACTCGATGTCGCTCCCGCAAACATCTGCCCATAGAAGAACAGAGTCGTCCGGAAACTGGTCTCAGGACGCTTATACCATGTCGAGAGATAGTACAGGGCGCCTATACCAAACCCATCGTTAGCCCTACCACCACAGACCAAACAGGGCGACCAGACAAACCAGGAATGAACCCTCCCTCCAACAGTCCCAACAACAACCTCGTGGCCAGAAACGCCGGATACGATTGCACAAAAGCCTGAAACGTGCCAACCAATCCCCAAGCGACCAACTGTGTCGACAACCAGATCTGGGGACCGATGCGCTGAAGTATAATATTCGACGGGATCTCCGTGATGACAATACCAGCCGAAAGCAACTGTGTTCCGATATTGATTTGGTTCGTGGTGACGCCCAGGTCCTCGGTGATAGTGGAGGTAAGGGCAGCGCTGATATTGCCGCGATCGATCTGGAGGCCGAAGAAAGCGAGAGCGAGGATGGGGATGAGGATGATATCAATCCTATATACCAGTCAGTTATATGCTTATACCCATATAGCAGTGAATGGACGACAGGGACGACAGACTTCCTCCGCAGCTTGCCCTCCTCCTTGTCATCCCAATCCTTGACGATCTCCTCCGAAGCAACATCATTCTCGGTATAGACCTCATCGACGACCTTCTTTTCCTCAAAAGGAGGCACCACACCATCCTTCGGGTCCTCGAACTCGAACTGTCTCCCCACCATCACGACGACGACGATATAAGACAGAGGTTGAGCAACACTTCAGTGACACAAGCCAACACTCTGAGTCAAGCAATCACCGACCGTATGCAAGGGACGTCCAAGACAATCAATAATAAGAAAAAGAAAAGCAAACACAACTGAAAAAGAAAAGTATATTCCTTTTTATCCGCTCGACAACACAACGCATAAAATCACCGAGTGAAAAAAAAGGTCTACGGTGCCTACATCCAATCTACTTATATTTAAAAACCCCCAGGCTCGGCAAAACAATCCCAAGTCCACGGTCTGGGCACAGACAGCATAGCGTGAGTGTGGGTGAGTGTGTGTGTCTAGACAGAACAGTCAATCAGTGAGAAGAGTTGACCCGCAATTCCACTATGAAGTGAGACGGGGGCTTGATGGCGCAATCGCCGCTGGCTTTGATGTCAGGGTTAGTTTTGGATCGATGGCCGCGCGTGCTAGATAGATTCTCATATCAATTTCTAACTATTCTAATTGCCTTTTTTTCAATCCTTTAAGCGATATACCTTATAAACTCACTTAGGCTGAAGGATTCGATGGTGTCATTTTTACCTGTTTTCATTGATCCCGTTGTGGTTGTCGTTCCCGTGGGATTGATCTATGGATTGGATAAGGAACGAACTCGCTCGGGTCCGTCCCAGGGTTTATCTACCGGGTGTGCCTTTTCTTGTTCCATGTGTCTTTTCTTTGTGTCTGGTTCTCTTTTGTTTCTCGGCTATTTAAACTTCCCTGATTTCATGGTATTAATTATCTATCTATGGTGTGATCGGTGGTTATCTGATTTCTTAGTGCTATTCTTGGCTACTTGTTTATCCATCCGCCCACTTCGCCTACTATGACTGACTGACTGACTATCGTGATCTACACGCGCCCCATGTCATGCATTCATTTTCATGACTCTTGTGATTTTCATCATGATGTACAAATAACCTATCCATATATATACATAACAATATCGCTCATAACTCATATCTGTACTCCGTCGTAGCATCAAGTCCACGCCTCCCAACTCAATCCTTCTCTATACTGAAGACCCACCTGTGGTCCCTCCGCCGCAATGATATACCCAGGTTCACACACAGAGTACGAAACCTTGGGTTGATTCGTGTAGAAGGAATCATACTTCACTTGCAGCGCATCCTTGAGGCTCTCTACAGACCCGTCGGGATGGAGAACCCGCCACGGCTGGATGCAGGTGTTACCCTTGCAGGACTTCAAGACGAGGAGGAGGGCGTCGATGCGATCGATCACGCTGGAAAGAGGTCTGTTTAGGAGGTTTATAGAGTCTTGTTGGGCGTAGATGTTGTTCATTTGGTAGGGGTCCGTCTGGGGCTGTTAGGTTATCTTCGATAAAGATAGTGAAGGGAAAAGTACTTACCGAGAGATCGTACAGCTCGTGGTCGCCGTCGCACCAGACGGAGTAGTACAGGTTATATTCTTCCGAGAGGATTCTCGCGGATTTGTAGGTGTTGTTTCCCATCATGGAGGAGCCTCCGGGTCCTGGTTACGTCAGCCATCTTCCCGTGGCAGTGAAGAGAGAAGGTTACTCACCGATAGAGCCGTACTCGCCTTCAAGCACGGCGTGGCCCCAGAATTCGACCGTGACATGCTCGTGCAAGATCGACTCGGTCTTCTTGCTAGTTGAAACGGGCATCGGAGTCCCGTCAAAGTCCTCTCGCAAGGGAACGCCAGCCAGCTCGAACAGTGTAGGCGCGATGTCAATGTGTGTGGTTACGCGGTCAACGCTCTTTCCTTCAGGAATGCCAGGGCCGCGAATGTAGAACGGGACTCGAATGTCCTCCTCATAGCCGGTCGTTTTGCCCGGAGGCAGACGATGATGGCCAATGTGGTAGCCGTTATCAGCACTGTAGATGATGTAGGTATTGTCGATCTGCCCGCTTTCTTCCAGCTGCGTGATCAGCGAATCCACCATCTCATCAACGGCTTGCAAGGCGCGCAGACGCTGGCGATAGAGATGGTCTTCGTAGTCGATGACGGTCTGGTTCTGGAGTTCCATGGTTTGGATCCACCCCGCACCGGAGTCCTACTCTTGTCAGCGGCCATCCCCGCCATAGGACCAGAACATCACACATACCTTGTCCGGATTGAAGTTCGGCGTCCGTGGCACCTTCGCATCAGCAAACAAATGCGCATGTCTCGGTGCAGGCAGCGGCTCCGTCATTTTCGGACCACCAGAACCACCCAGTCCTTCCACATCAATGTTCGTGTGCGGAGCGATCGGCGCGACCGTCAGGAAGAACGGCGCGTCGCTGTCCAGCGCATCTGCCAACAACCCCGATGCCTTCTCCCTCATCACATCCGTTGTGTATTGTCCCTCGTAGCTCCGCGGAGGCTCATGGTTTCGCTGGTACGTCGCGTTCCAGTACGAATAGGTGTGGGGATCGAGGAGGAAATCGGAGCCATTGAAGCCGTTCACAAACGGTGCGTTATAGGTAGCGACGCTGTGCGAGTTGAACAGTTTCCCCGTGTAGAAGGTATTGTAACCGGCGGACTGCAGCCAAACGGGGAGGAAGTTTTCGTTGAAGCCTTGGGCGACGAATTTGGGGTATCCGCCTATGCTGCATTAGCAGTCTTACACCGAAGAAACATGACCGATCTGAGAGGTATTCATACCATAAGGCGGGTTCACATCCGTCACATTAGTATTATGAGCCTGTCTTCCCGTCCAAAGACTCACGCGCGACGGACAGCACAGAGCAGTAGTAACAAAATGATTCAAAAACTCAGTACCCTTGTCCTTGATTCTCGCCTGTGTATACGGCATATACGCCGGGCTATTCATCCGCAGGTCCTGGTCATCCGTGAGAATGAAGAGGAAGTTGGGCTTGCGCGCGGAGACCGACGGCTCATCATCCAGCAGTACCTGCTGCTGCACAGCGAGGGCGTCGCATCCGACGAACAGGGCTAACAAAGCTGGCAAGAACATCATGGCGGGAGCAACAATCCAATTCCTGAATTGAATAAATTTACCCCCTGCAACGATGGTTTTGTTGTCTGTCACTCACCGACACTCAGTCACCGAAAACAACTATTAAAACAAGAAGTGAGTTCGAGCTCGCGATCAAGATAGCGATGGCGCAGCAACGGCACGGGATAACGCCATAGCTCTGATGGAGCCGATCAGACCAGTAGGTAGAATAGACTAGTCAGTCAGCACCTGGACTGGAGCTGCAGAGACTCGAGAGAGTGTGTGTGAACCTGGACGCAGCGCAAAAGCAAAGACGCGCCTCGTGGGCGGTGGATCAATGATCGGATTTAGTGGCAGATGGCATCACAGGCGGCCAATGACCTCCGGGCCAACTGGCCCCGTCATTCCGGCAATACTGTCTACTTTGGACTCCACCATGCATCTCGGCTATATTTTGAATTGGCATTGATGGATGGGGATCCTCTTGGAAGTGTCAAGGACATTGAAGCGAAGACGATTCATTGGCTGCTTGAGACATACTCCAGGTTTAGTCGCTAAGAGGCCCCTGGGGGAGAAGCAATGATGGATGCTGCTGTTGCTCCACTGTGGACCTCGGCTATGGAATTACGTGCTTGGATCTAAGATGAGCTCATGGCTATGCTTTGAGGGACAGTGATATCAGTAGAGCGAAAAGAGAAGACCGTCATGTCAATTGCCTAATGCTATGTGCAAGAATAAATCAGGGACCGTCTGGGACTTTACGTGAAGTGAAGACAATGGCTTTGGCACTGTCCGTATCTCCGCATCTCCTCAATTCCGTCGGTCGCAATACAAACAATCACATGATCAGGCTTCCATTTCGTTGCTCTTATGCACATCCACTACATACATGATTATATAACCAATTACCCTCATGCTCATCCATTATATCGAATTGAATGAATTGTCTACCGCCAGCTGTCGGTCACCGTCGCGGTCGACTCTCCGCACACTTGAGGAACGGTGTATTCCCGGTTCGGGTCGCTCTCCCACTCCACGGAGTCATCGCTCTCAACGCGGATGAACTTGTACTCAAATGACTCACCAGCCGGCAGAGTCACAGTTACATACCAAAGCGGGTTACTGGAAGTGTACTTGTCAGCGCTCAGAGCTATGCCATCGCTGGTGTCCCAGTCACCGAGCTGAGAGATCGACCCGACCAGGTAGATGTTCTCGCCGTAGGTGGTGGTCGCCGTCAGATCAAAGGTCACAGCTACGGCAGTGGGGGTGGTGCAGGAGGTCGAGGACGTAGTGGTGCTGGTCTTACTAGCAGTTGTGGTGGTCTTGCTGGTCGAGGTCACGCCGCCCGATCCAGTGGTGGTAGCCGTCGTAGTGGTGCCACCAGTAGCCACGATGCTCGGCCACGAGGTGACGGTCACACTGCTGTAGGTACCAGAGGCAGAGGTAGCCGCACAGGTGCCGGGCACGCTGCTGGCAGAGGTCTCACCCCAAGACGGGGGCACGACAGAGTTACGACGGTTGTTGGCGGTCAGCAGAGCAGCGTAAGACCAGGTCAGATCGCGAGCAGAAAGCTCGTCGCCATCAGACTTGTCGAATTGCTCAGACAGAGAGCCGTTGCTTGCGGCGTGAGTTTCCTAATCCTGTTAGTACGCACCCTCTGTAAATATGAGCGCTCGTCTAGCGTAGACTTACCACAATAGAAACAAAACCATCAGCGAAAGTCTTGACGGCATCCACAATGCTGCTATAGGTCGAGCTGGACGAAGAGTACGTGCCGGTGGCAGCACCACTGTACAGAGCCTTGAAGAAGTCAAGTGACACGTCTGTGATCTCCAACGACCCCTGCTTGTCCCACTGGTACAGAGCATCGTACAGCTGTTCCGCGGCAGCCAAGGTGCACAGGAACCACGGGTTGCCGTTGTAGTAGCTATCCTCAGGGTACCGACCGACGGCAACCGCCTCACTGTCACTGAGACCATCGTTGAGAGTATAGATCGAGCGGAAAGAGTCTACAACCTCCTTGTGGTTGGCGAGCGCACGCGGGGAGCAGGGCTGGAAGGTGGAGTCGTCGCATCCAGCCTCAGGATCAAAGGTGTGGATGCTTCCCAGGAGGGTGTTTGTGTCCTTGCCGGAACGGCTGCTGTCAAAGTTGGCCAGGATGTAGCTGCCGGTCCAGAAGGACTGCAGGTAGCAGAGAATCTGAGGTGCCTGCGAATCACACCAGGAGCAGGACGAGCCGACGGCCGTCGCGAAGGCACTACCTTCGACGAGGGCGCGGTGTTGCACGGCAATGGTGAAGAAGGACGAGCCATTAACTTCTTCCCAGAGATCTGCGACCGCGAGTTAGCTCCGATGCACAAACACCCTTGAACCCCGATCAATCAAACACACCATATCCCGTCTGGTTCCAGTACTGAGCCACATACGACAGGTCGTTCCTAACGAGGGGCCAAACAATCTCTGTTGCAGCGCTGGTGTAGCCATTGTCCTGACCAGTCAGCTACATATGTTGCAGATCAGACGCAAGGGGGTGGAGAACATACAAGCAGCCACTGCCCGAAGCCGATCATAGCAGTTGCTCTCAGGGCAGGACCATCACGCTGCGGCCGTCCCCAAGACCCGGTGTAGGCAGTCTCATCGACATTGAACTTGGGCTCACCAAGACCACCGCTGGACAGACCACCAGAGGGGTTACTGACACCCTGAATAATTGCCTGAGAGGAGATGTAGTGCTCAATGGTGGAAAGGAGATCAGTATCTCCATTGCGGAAGAGGTCGACGAGGGTCTTGATGACGAGACCAGAGTCGCGAGTCCAGGTGTAGAAGTCTACAATCATCAAAAGACACGCCAGTCAGCATCAATCAACCAAGACACATTCAGAATCCGAATTCCAAACATACAGTCCGGGTTATCGGTGCTGGGACTGGCAACGACAATGCCAGAGTCCGCGCCCGACACCCAAGCACCGTCCGCCCCGATGTTATTCAGGATCGCAGTACGAGCCACGGTCGCTTCGTTGCTCAACCACGAATCCAATGTCGCGCGCTTGGAAATGACACTTGCCAACCCCGAGCAGACAAGGCCGCTCAGGGCGAGAAGAGATCGGAACGACATTGCGGTGGGGGAGTAACGATGTTGAGGATGAAGCTCAGTCACTCAGTTGTCGCGTCTTGAGGGGGAGGAAGCTACTTTCAACCCCTCACTGACCCCTGAGCGACCACGTCAATTTATAGCCAAACCAACATCTGCACGAGGGGGGAAGTTGAAGGAAGAAGCACATGCATCAACACACAATACAAATTGCAATGCAACATCGCTTAGCTTCTAGCTTGGTATTCCTGCAGAGACAATCTCGCCACTTCAGCTCTTCAGCTGGTGAACGGACGAGGCCCCAGAACGACGAATCTCCGGTGGTGTGGAAGAACCAGCCTATCGCGGTGTCGGGCCGGCCCGGGGGAAATTGCACTGAATCCACCGGCACTGCAGAATGGCCCTGTGCCTTGGAGATGTGTCCAATCGCTGGCCGCATTGACCTGAATTGCAATTTATTTCAATTCCCGGGGATTCGCCGTCCCCGGTCGAGCGTGGTGGCTTGATTGGCTGCTATAACAATGGTAATTATACCTAACGGGAAGCTATAATGCAGGTCCCAAGGTCCAACGCGTGGTATATACCCTTCCATTAATATAACGAGTACTACTTATTATGACCTTATATATCCTTTGCCGAGGCCAGACACTTCCATCATTACTTTCATAAGGCTAGGTCCCTGACCCTCCGGACCCCTCCGCCAATAGCATCAGATGTGGAACGCCGCGGTATTCTGCAGGATGAACTCATATGTCCCGTTGCGGAAATCATCCGTAAGGAGACTGGCGCTGTTCGCTCCGAAATTCATCAACTGTCGTGATTCCTTCCACTGGGGCCATTCCATGTACTCCCCCCGATTGGAGTTCGGATCCAGTGTATACACAAAACTCAGATAATACGTGTGGCTGGAACTCGCTGCATAGTTCGGCTTGATCCCATAGAACACCTGCAGCAGGTCACTTCCATGGAAGGTCCCCAGAATTGGCGTGCCATAGTCATAGGTCGCCAGGTACGACCATTTCGGGAGGTCAGGGGAGAGCTCCTCTGCATATGACAGGAATGCCCGCCGGGTAATGGTGAAGACTAAGTCGCCGAGAATGGCGGCCAATCGCTTAAATTGCGGATACCAGTTGTTGGCCGTGCCCGTCCTAAAGGGAGACCCATATGTGGTGGTGTCTGGGTACAGGGCCACTAATTCTTCAAGCTGCTCCTGGCTAGCGTCATAGAAGAAGTAGGAGCCCAGATAGTCGACTACCTCGTCGATCGTCGTAATATTGGACTGAAACAAGGCGAACAAGGTCCCCTCATCCTCTTGGTCGCCCACGATGAATGGGACCCGCGCATACTTCCCTGATTTGCCCAAAACGTCTGGTGACGCCGACAATGCCGTCCCGTCTGGTCGAGGTACATATGATAGCGCCACGGAGTGATAACCTAGGATCCCCGGCACGGAGTTTGCCGCATTGAGATAGTCGGTGTAGTCTAGCTCACGCAGACAAGCCAGGGTGTTGTTGGAAGAGGAACAGCCTGCAGAGTCCACAACCGCATCATATACTTGCTGTCCCTTGACTCCGTCGACAGGGTCTGCGGGAACCACACTACCGGAGTCCATGATGGCTCCCCGAAACAAGGGCTTATCCTTGTAGGTGATGTTTCCGTCGTACAAGATCATCTGATCAAAGACGGAAATAGCCCCTGCTGATTCTCCCCAGATTGTCACCTTGTCTGGGTCTCCACCAAACGCCTCGATGTTGTCGGCCACCCACTGCAGGGCAAGGCGTTGGTCAAGTAGACCTAAGTTGGCGGACCCGTCCTCCAGAATCTCCTTTCCGGGCAGGAACCCGAAGCCCCCTACGCGATAGTTCATCGCTACAAACACGATAGGCATGTTCTTGTCTATCGACGATGATACCATCGTTGTACCGTCATACATGGCCTTTGAACCAAGTTCAAAGCCTCCGCCAAAGATCCAGACCAGCACGGGCAGCTTCGCGTCCGCAGTGGTCCCGGCTGGGCGCCGAATGTCAATGTTCAGACAATCCTCGAGGGCATTGGTAGCCGACTGTACCAACGGGAGATCCGCAAGGAGACCAATGACAGAGGTCGGGAATTCGCTCTCATCCGTGGTGAAGTACATCTGCGGACAAGACTGCGAGGCACCGGTTGCCTGGACAGTACCGAGGGAGGTTTCCAAAGGCTGTGGAGGCTTCAGACGCAGCGAGCCCGTGGGGGCCTGCGCGAAGGGGATATTGTTGAAGCTCTCAACATCGCCCGACTTGCCAATGATGGTGGCCGACGGATGCGCAATAGTGACAGTAGGAGCTGCATCCCGTTTGACTGGGGTGGCCCAGACGGCGAGGGGAAGGGAGAGCCAAAGAAGGGCCTTCATGATGGCCATGATCTGTACAGCTATGGGTCACAGGCTCTCCGATCGGGCTACGAGGAACCCTATATACAGTTTTCCATTTTCCCACCTTCGTTTCAAGTGCGGAAATCCATCTATGTCCTGAAGCATAATCCGAGAACCGAAAAACCAGCTCCCAAGGGGTTTTCGACATCTCCATGTGCCTCCTCGGCTGTGGATCCAGTTATGAGACCTGCATTTTAGGCATCAAGACAGCAAAACCCCCTATACCCCTAGCCAGCTGGCCTGACGATCGCTGATTCGAAGGTTCTCCATCATGGGGGGAAAGACAGCGTGGGCGGAGAATATCACGCCAACCGGGTGGCCCAGGAACGGTCGAACCCGTTCCCATGCGCAAACCGAGGCTGGTACAAGGGGGGACCATATCAGCAGATCAGTGAAAATATATTAGGTCAACATTGCTAGCATCCTGTTGGTCACTTCACGAGGATAGAGTTGATCAAATGCCGCTTCCCCCGCAGTTCGAAGGCTGCAGAATGACTGCCTTTGCGGGGAAAGGAGCCTCGACCGTTGCGCTTTGGTTCGCCAACTCGGACATTTCACCTGCTTTGTCGAATCTTCCGATTCGCATGCCTGGTGATACAACTCAGTTGGGCTGCTTGCATAGTTCAGCAATATTGAGGAACTCAATGTAGCAAACACAACGTGCTTGTGGTTGTGTTGGGGTTTGGAAAAGCGGTTCGGAACTCCGACCAAAAATGAAGGAAAAAGGAAATCATATGCAAATCCGGTTCGTGGGTCGGCCGATCGTCGGCTATCAAACCGCACCCAAACTATGTACAGTCAAAGCTAAGAATAAATCCTCCAAGTTACCAAAATCCAGTCAACGCCCCTTTAATTTTATACAAGACAAGCCCGCCAAAATTCAGTCCCAACGAAAATTTCATTTCTCCCATCCATTCCAACGCTCAAAATCCCCCGTGTCGAGGTCAAATAAATCCAACATTCGTCCAACACTCTGGTCAATGAGGTCCTCGATACTTGCGGCCTTGATGTAGAACGCAGGCACTGGGGGGAAGATGACTGCCCCAGCTCGTGTAACCTCCAACATGTTTCGCAGATGGATCTCGCTTAATGGCGTCTCCCGCGCTACTAGCACCAATCGCCTGCGCTCCTTGAGCATCACATCTGCTGTCCTTGAGATGAGATCGTCACAAAAGCCCGAGTGGATAGCAGCCAATGTTTTCATGCTGCACGGTACCACGATCATTCCGTCTGCGCGGAATGAGCCGCTGGACACTGGGGCAGCCATGTCATTGATGTTGTGTACGTAGTCGGCCAGCGCTTTCACGTTTGAGGGATGGTAGTCGGTCTCGTATTTGATCGTAGCCTCCGCCCACTTGCTCATCACCAGATGCGTCTCCACGTTGAGACGGCGCAGGGCAATTAGGACTTTGATGCCGAGCATGGCTCCAGTAGCACCCGTCATGGCCACTACAATGCGGCGGCGACGGGGCGCTGGACGGGCAACGGCCACGTGATCATTATCGATGGGCATTTCGCTGGTGGGAGGAGATGCACGACCGGAGTTTGGGGTAGTAGTACCGGACAGAAGTGCGTTGAACATATGTGTTGATGCGGAATATATTGTGTTGTAGTAGGCACAATTGCGTAGATTGGATGTTCCCGTTATGGGGTGATATGTCTCGATGGATGGATGGCAATGATAGCTGTCAGGAAGTTGAGCTGTCAAGTATATATATATAATCCAGTGGCAACCCGGTATCTACAGTAAATCATTGAGTTGAAAGCTTTTTTTGCTGGGATCGATTTCTTAGGACACTTCTCTGCCTTACGGTCGATCTCGGTGTGGCCCTGTTTTGCCATTGAGTCCGAGACCTCCGAGCCACCGAGAGGCCGTTCCCGAGGAGCGGCATAACGTCATGGATCGCTCAAAGAAAACCCAGCTCTTTGGATAAGTCAAACATGGGTACTGCGACGGTTAGCTCGGTCAATTATAGTCGGCAATCTCGGCATACCATTCATGATAGAGTCAAGATAGCTGGCTGGTGAGAAGTCTTGACCGAAGTCGTCCGGGATCCCGTTCGGCATACTGCAAAATCAGCACCCACCGCACAGCTCCACATATCAAACAATAGTGGGCGCACATACCCATAGACAGGAAAAAACGGCTGGGGCTGTTCCTCGCGTTCTGTCCCAACATTTGCTTCCCCCTTTTCACGTTCAACTGCCGTTCGAACCGCATTGCGCAGAGTGATTAACGCCCGTATATGCCGTTCCGATAGCCATTGCCCGTTCTCCGATGTTGTGTTCTCCACTGTGCCCACTGAACCTGCGGCAGAGAAGACCTCAATCACCTTTTGCTGTAAATCACGGCACTCGGGATCATTCCGGGTCTCCTCCCAAATGCAGAGAAGTAAAGTGGAACTAAGAACTGTGTGCACCATTGACCAGCTTCGGAGGGGGACCACACTAAGAGCCTGAAAATCCAAAAAGGCCCTAGAAGCGTCGATCAGGCTCAATTTGGCGCGGGTGCGCAAGATGTCATAGGACGCGTCTTGCATCACAGTGCGCTTTAGCGCTGGACGTGTCAAGACGGAAATGGCTAGAGACATATGCATTCGCAAAGCCAGGTGCTCCAGGTTGTGTTGGAGGCTTTTGCATTCCTGGCGGTCACGCAGATGTGGCTGAGTGCGTTGGTTGAGGCTATCAATCGTGGCCAAAATGTCAAGCTGTCGCGCATTTTCCGGTATTTCAGGACCATCTGTTGTGATCATGTTCAACGCAATTTGGCATAGAAAATACATGGCTTCCGTAAAACAAAGTTCGTTGCTGGAGAGAATCGAATAATCTGGAGCCCACCCAGTCATGGAGACCACACGAGGCCGGTCGTAACATAAACAGAGCAGGCAATCTTGCCAAACAACAGTGTACCTGTAACTGCGTCAGCTTGTATCGCGATCTGTAGCATTGCTTATGTACCATAGCTTCCGTGCTTTGTATTTGACATGGTCCGGTAGGTGTGCTACACTCTTTTCGGTGTGAAGACCCAATGTCTGTGCAAGACGGACTGTTGTCCCCAACAAAGCCCATGCTGCATCAGACTGGCCATTGTTTTGCAGAGTGTTCCCTATGATCAAGAGTGCTTGTATGATGTCCATAGTCGGACGGAAGAGAAAGTTGGCTAGTCGAAGAGCTTGAAAGGATCGTTTGGCTTATTCTTGTTAGTTCAACATGCATAGACAATCATCCTGGGTGACGTACCGAAGTCCTGGTATAGCTCGGTTCTTTGCATGTAATCCAGGTCAGAATAATGCGCACCAGACGCCAAAGCCGCAAGTAGCAGGCTAATCATCCCGACAGACCGATCAGTGGCCCAACGTTCGCAAATCTGTGAAGTGTTCTGTAGCTCTCCTGCTGCAAGAGCATTGAGGTATGAACACACATCCTGCTCAAATCTCTCAATGTCAAGTATGATAGGATTGAAAGGGTGGGCTGATATTCTATAGAAATGAAAGAACCTGCCCTCTGTTAGTGGTTGCTGTGATCAACAACAAGGTGTGCTTACTTCAAGAGTTCCGTTCGCTGTGGGATGATTCGTAGAAGTTCTCTCCACCGGTCCCGAGGTGTTCGAAAGTCCATAAAAGGATAGCTACCGTAAGTATTTTGCAGGCCTAAAACAGAGCCCACCTCACGGGTCATGGAGCCATTGGTATCTTGCGTGCGATTACGCAGATATGATAATACCGAGTTGTCTCCCGAGTAGACAAGGTCATTATCGGGACCATCGGAAGATGGGATACGAGTGTTATAGTACTGCCTTGTCTCCGTCTGAACATCTGGTTGACTGCGTGTTGAGGGCAGAGTTTGTGGCTCGGCATCGAGTCCCTGTTCAGCGACTGATGTCTGATTTGGTCCGCGAGGAGCAGCCGAGGAATGTCTTTGGTTGATATTACGGGACTTTTTAGACCCTGAGGAATCTTGATCATACACACATATTTGGGGATGGCCCCTTCGACGGCATGTTCGACAGGGCTGAGTGCTGTCGCATTTCACCTTGCGCTGGCGGCAAGGATAACACGCTCGAGCCTCGCGCTGATTGCGTTTCTGTCGCAGCACGCGGTCGATCTCTTCACGATTTATCGGGGTGCCCATAATTCTACTACCGCTGTGTCGGCACCTCAAGAGTGCATATTTTCCGGAAGAATTTTGCGGAATTATATTGCTTCTCTCTCCGGGGTATTAGTTGATATAGTCGCGGTGGTCGTGCAAAGCGTCGAAGTGGCGGATCTGATCGGCACCTCGGTTCCGAGATGAGTCAGCAATTGGTATAAAGCCAATTCGAAGTACAAACTCAATTAGAATGGTAAGGTGGATGGAAAACAAACTATCGAACTGGAGATGGCCTACTGCGCATAAACTCAAGACTGTGGGGTGAAAGATTTCCTGCACGCTGGCATTTGAAGGATGGCGATCGGATATATATATTTGGAGACGTAGCAGACGCGGGAGATGATCGATAGTACTATTAGTAGTAGTGATGCACTAACTAGCCCACAAGTGTTAGTGTAGAATTATTTAACTCTAAACTAAGTCCCACCCGCTAAAATTAGTTGCTTTTAAATATCCAGAGGTTTGTAATGTGATTAGATGTTAAATTCTCTATCTGTCTACGAGCAGTATTGGGGATGCTATAAGAATGAGAAGAAAAAGTATATAAATCTATGCTCTATGTGCTCTATGTCTATGTACCTGCCAGATCAATTCAGAATGCTATCAAGACAAATACGGTTAGTTGCTAAAACCCATATTGGTCCAGTTGTCCAGAATTTTCTGCTTCAGATCCTCCGGATAAGATTGGTTGAAGTCAGCAGCCTCCCAGTTGCGACCAGTGGTGTATTCAGTTGGCATGAGAGCATCGGACACAACCTTTCCGCCGCGGTGGGCGGGCCCATTTCCGTGTCCCATGTACGGGATCAAGGGGAATCCACGAACGTCCTCAAACAAGGTCTCATCCATTCCAGGACGGCAGCGGGTGGAGAATGCCCAGAGTACATCCTTTCCTTCATAGACATCAATGTCGTCACCGACCAGAACCACGCGATGAATAGTGTATCCGGCCTTGTGGTTGAAGATAACATCTCCCACTCTCTTGCGGAATTCCTCAGATGTCGTCTTCATCGCACGTAGCTTCTCAGTATCAACTCGCAGAGCAACCCAGGTGACTTGTGACTCGAAAGGAGCGAAGGCATCAGTGATGGGAAGGCCATTCTGCTGGCAGAGCTTACGGATCTCCGCCGCAGCCAGAGAGCCGATCATGGTGTGCTATACAGTGTCAGTCCTTGGCCATAGACGGCACAACGGGGATTAAACTTACTGTTTCATCTGTCAAGCGGCCACAAGAAGACATCGGCATGATGGCGTTGTTGCGATAGGTGATTCGGTTGACCTTGTATTTGGCGCCAAGATGGGCATCCCCAGGGAAGATGTAACCATGCATCTCACCAAAAGGTCCTTCTGGACCAGTCTCGCTAATAGACAGAGTACCTTCGAGGATGATTTCTGAGGTAGCGGGGACGTATAGATCGTTCGTATCACATTTGACGAGCTCTAGGGAAGATCCCGTCATAGCGCCCACGTACCCAGCTTCGGTGACACCATCGGGGATGGGCATGCTGGAGGCCATAATGGCCGCGGGTGGGACACCAAAAGCCAAAGCCCAGGGAACATCACTCCGGCCCTCCTTCTTCCACATCTGGTGAATCTGCCAGATGTGCTGAGGAGGAATAACCAAGCCGGTCAAATGGTTCTTGTCATGGACCATCGCGCGGGCAATAGACCAGTTGGTCCAGGTTCCATCAGGAGACTGCACGATGTGCATACCATAGGTTTGGATGTATTTACCACCATCCGATTTGTGAATAAGAGGAACGGGGAGTTCGGTGAGGTCGAACTCGGAGTCATTTAAGCTGTTCTCCTTGCATGGCCCGGTGGGTACAATGGTTGGAGGAATGGGAGGCATTTCGCTGGCGGAGAGCATCTTGTCAAGAATCTCACGCATTGAAGCCGTAGGCGGGAGGGCTAGGTGACGAGCAAGGCGGCCGTAGCGATCAGCAGACGACTTCCTGAGAGAGCCAGGAGCCCCAAGTATACGGAAGAGGCCATTCTTCATGCCAATGAGGTTGTTGAAGAGAGGAGCCTTGTCGTTGGTCTCACATACTCGACGGGTGATAGCAGCAGCTTCGAGATTGGGGTCGATGGGGGTATCGATTTCCACAAGGTCATTGTCGGCCTTGAGGGCCTCAACGAAGGAGCGGAAACAGAGGTGAGCTGGTTGTGCAGACATATTGATTGACGGTACTAGTGTGATGATGTTTTAGAGGGGTTGGACGGACTGTTCACAAAACAGCCTTCCCGTCCGAGGACATTTATAGCCAGACATGATGATACTTGCCGGCTAAATCGGGTTTGCCTCAAAGCTCTGACAGTAGCCTCATGATCTGGAACTTTCGCATCTAGACTTGGTTCGGTGTTCGGGTTCGGAACTCGGGACTCGGTACCTCGCCATGTGGATATGTTTTCTGCAGGGATTGGGCAGTACGGATCAACCGAGTTGATGAACGTTGAATAATGTGACCCACAGTGTACTAAGGGACGCATCATGCGACCCGGAAGCAAGGTCTAGGAGAGTAGTGGTCGATCAAATTGCTTGTAGCTGTGTGTATGGCTGCTTTAGTGGTGTTGCTGTCGGATTCGGAATCACCTTTTTCCGGCAGCACAGGCTGTCTCCAACTGCATGCATAATACCTAGTTCGTAACATGCGTATAGAAGTATGTGTGAGACGTTTGCTTCGTCTGCATGTCATAGCTCATTGTATAGTTACCAAAAAATGGCGGAAGTGAAGTTATAATGAATTGTGTGTGTTTCCACTCCGAGCTGAAGCAGAAGCTCAGAGACTGCTTGACTGAAACGGCCTTGGTCATTCAGATTTCCCTCACTGCAAAAGAGAAGGACAACAGATTCTGTGTTATGAGGCTTTTTGCACGAATATTTTGACTTGAAATTGAAAAGTCAATATCGCTGGGGTGAACCTGGGACCAATAGACAACTTGCCAAAAACTAGGAGGGAGAACAGTTCGATTTATCCCAAACTGTATCTGTACAGGAGACGACTAAGAGGTTGATTCTTGCCTTGTCATGTGAATGGGGAACTCGGCCAGCTCAATCCGGTTTCTTTGTGTACTACTACTTACTTATACTGTTGTCTTCATTGACTATTCACGCGTGCCTGTCATCTGCTGGCTGCCAGCTGATTCACTAACACAACAACCAAAGCTGACCACCACTTCAACTCATGAACTATACATTTTCAAGATACTACCTCGCTTTTATCCGATTCCGTGCTCAACTCTTTCTCATCCCTTCCTCATACATCTATCTACCACAGGAAGCAAATCCGTCAATCAGCGGCAAATTCCTTCACAAAATGTCATCGTCAAGCGAGGATGCAAGGCCACGGGGGCCGACTAAGGTCATCTCAGAGTAAGCATATTTTATGTCCCTTATCAACAGCTTCTAATGTTTAGCAGCCTTTTCCTAAGCTCCACATGGAGCGACTTATCCATCGTTTGCGGAGATGTTGTCTTCCCAGCTCATAAATGCGTCGTGTGTCCTCAATCTGGTTACTTTTCACGCGCGTGTAATAGCAGCTTCATCGTGAGTCACTGCTACATATCAATCTTACATTGAATGTGAACCAACGTAACACATGCACGTTATACTCAGGAGTCTTCTGGAAAGATTGTGATAGAGGACCTCGAGCCCATCTATCTCGAGAAGACGCTGCAATTTCTCTATAAGGGGTTTTACACCAGATTGAGCGACATGAACACCTCTCCTGCAGTAGAATTTGGTCATCCCAGTCCCATCCCTAGTCCGATTATTCGAAGCCTCCCGTATACTACCTTGTCATCCGTGGAAAATGGCGGGCTTTCAAAATTCCATGTTCATATGTATGAGCAAGGAGAATATTTTCAGATCCACGATCTCAAAGAGAAGGCAAAAGAGCACTTCAAAGAGTGCTTCCTGCGTGACTTGGACAGACTGTTCTTCCGTTCAACTGTAAACGAAGTCTACTGTTCGACGATTGAGACCGATCGCGGGCTTCGAGATATCGTCATTGAGACCGTCCTAAATGATCTGCCAACGCTAATTGATGGGACCTCAACGTATCTCGACAAGGAAGATCTGAAAGAGATGCCTGAGTTTACCGTTGACCTGTGCCAGGCCAGCCTGGTTCAGAATGCGTACCTCATGGGCATTATCTCGGAATGTACACAATAACCGACGTAGTAAGTTAGTCATATTTCTTTTCCTGCACGGGTCATAAAGAACAAGGACAGGTGGAGACAACGAACTGAAGGCATGCAGATCAACGAGCTACCCGAATATCTCCTATAGATTGCATCATCCGAGCACTGTCAGATGACAGTAACCGCGAACTGCAACCATGTCTATATCCCTCCGCAATGTGCCCCGTACTCTCATTTCTAGCAACCCGTACGGATCCCAATCAGAACCTCCAGAAGATAAATCAGCTGCAATCATGCATTCCCAACGTTAAAGAGTGTAATGGGCGATTCCAGGGAAGTGCCGTGGACAATAGTGTATATGGTTAATGACATGACGACAAAGCCGAGGAACATTATTGGCGACCAACAAACTGTCTCACCGTCGATATAAGGTTTAGTGCTTATATGTTCGCACAGGGGTAATAGCTGCACTTCCTTGGCCTGATACGGATGGATTTCCGAGGTCGGGGAAGAATAAAGCTGAATGAGCCGAGATGAACAGCTAATAGATTGCATCGAACGTCAGAATGGCGTTTGCTTTTTCAATAAACTCTCTTGTTTACTGTTATAGCTGAAACTTCCGACAGAACCTTCTATACAGTATGTGGTCATTCTCATGGCTAGCCATGACCACTTATCTACAATAACATTCAGCCGCCCCTTTAGCTGCTCTCACCGGTCACATCTCACGTTCGCTCGTTGATCACAGCGGGAGAGCCGTCTGAATCTACACCCAAGTGCAGAAACGGCATTCAGAGATGAACATTAGCTCAAGCATCACGGGGAACGCCAATAACCACAATCTAGCTTCAACACTGCCCTCTATATGATGCCAATTGACCGAGTCATATATAACCAACGTGCTCCTCTTCTGAACCGTCATTCCGCCCCAGGGTTCAGTCTTGTTTCTGCTCTCTTCAAATTTCCAACTTTCTCAAAAAGAGCATAGACCGTGCTTCCCACGCTCATAAAACACAATGTTGTGCTACTATATCTCCTTTTTCAGAAGCCTTTGGCCCCTGGTGACTAGGGAAGACTTCGTCGATGCGCGAGAAGTCGCCCGGTACTTGATCTACCACTACAATGAGATCAATAAAGGGTTTGGTAGACCGCTCAGACTCTATGACAAGAAACAAGGAGTCGACCCCCAAAACTGGACCCTGGACATCAACCCAATTAATTCTATGTTTGAACCGAGAACGGATGTTTTCTGTAAGTTAATCTCCACCTACCCTCTAATATCCCCAGACACTAACCCCAACCAGGGAGAACCAAGATTACAAGCCCCATCATGAGTGACGATGATGCTTGGGAATACATGTCATACTTCTTGAAGACAATTAATAGAATGTTTAAGGTGGAGAGCGACAACATGGACACGCTGCAAATCTACTTCATGCCAGCCAAGGGCAGGTGGAAGTTGCAGGAACTCAAAGGCGTTGTTCGTGTCATCATCCATTTCAAGGACGTTATCGAGGACTTCGTGGACCCATACTTACACAATGCGGATCGTGACTGTGAGGCAACAAAGGTGATGGATCCAAAAGTCAAAAAGGCCCTGATCAATGGCTTGGAACAAGCCACTGACTTCGATCAACTCAATCAGTTCTTGAGCTCGTCTTCTGGCCTGGAAAACTTCCGTAACTGGAAGTTCTGGCAGTGGCCTGCTTCTGAGAGCGATACTCTGGTGTTTGTGCGAGAATACCTCAAGATCCACCGCGATGAGGATATCACGAATTGGTATCTTTTCGTTGATACGTTTGTCCGTGCAGGTATGAATGCATACAGTCCAATCATTTACCTATTCGATACAGATATGGAGGGCCTGCAGCAGTTCCTGTTGCGTTACAATGAGGACACTGATGTTAATTGGTTGTGTGCCTTTACGGCTCCGCCGCGGTTGGACATGGTTTTGAGTAGCAGGCGTTGACCGTTACCAAGGCGAAGCGTAGACGCTGAGAACTACTACTGGATCGTTCAGAACATGAATATGTGTTTGGATTAGCATGCAATTGCTTTACATGAAGTATTCGGTACTTTCGTAGTAGACTTTTCCTAAAACGTACTTAGCAAACTGCCGCCTTCAGTCTCAATACACGGAACAACCTCTTCTTCCCATTAAATCACATAATTATCCACATGCAAGCAAACATTAATCTTATTATTAACTCAAATTAATAGCTACCATGTCAATGCGAACAGCAATGATGTGCACCCGATCTCGGCAGTCGGGCGTCTCGGGGATCCCCCATCGCCCCCCAGCCCGAGCAAAACTACACCCCCACAATTCTCGGAACCCGAGCCACGCCCTAACAGCCGTACAAAGTACCAGCTCCTTTGCCGTGCCGTCTTCCCGGGGGTTACTACTATAAATGATATCAATTGCCCACTAGATTACACCTTGCAATCAAAGCACCACCAAAATATACTTGCAATCCAAACCAAATAAGAAACAATCTTCAAGAAAGCTAAAGAAAATGTTCTACCAACCCGGCAAAACCGACCACGGCCTGCCTCATGATCCATTTAAGGTAAGTACTTGGATTCCCCAGCTCCAACTCCAACTTTAACAATGATTCATTCCAATGATCTACCCCGCATATGCAACTTTCCCCCTCACAATCGCCAATAACCTCTCATAACACACCACCACAAATCCATCTCAAACTTTCTATCTCACCTCCCAAATTCACAAATCAAATACTAACAAAAAATCAAATAAAATATAGGCATGCGTCGTCCCCCGCCCCATCGGCTGGATTAGCACAACCTCTCCCACCGGAGCCCCCAACCTCGCGCCCTACAGCCAATTCACAAACCTAACGTTCGACCCACCCTACGTTCTCTTCAGCAGCAACCAAACCGTAACCGGAGACCGGAAGGACACCGTCGTGAACGCCGAATCCACCGGCTCCTTTGTGTGGAACCTCGCGACCTGGGACCTGCGCGAAGCGATGAACATCACGGCGCAACAGTTTCCCTACGGAGTGAATGAATTTGAGAAGGCTGGGTTGACTGCTGAACCGTCTACTGTTCTTCCGGTGGAGGTGCCTATGGTGAAGGAGTCGCCGGTGCGGTTTGAGTGTGTGTATCATTCTACGATGAGATTGCCGGCGAATCCGCCTATGGGGACGGTGGATGTGGTTGTGGGACGGGTGGTCGGGGTGCATATTGATGAGGGGGTGCTTACGGATGGGATTCTGGATGTGAAGAAGACGAAGCCGATTGCTAGGTGTGGGTATTTCCAGTATGCGGTGGTGGAGGATACGTTTGAGATGGTGATTCCGGGGATGTCGAAGGATGTGCTTTATGGGTTGGAGGGGAGTGCGAGGATGAATGGGGAGAAGGCGAGGGAGATGGAGGGTAAGGAGGCGAGGAAGGAGAGAGGGTTGTTGTAGATCAGGTTAGGGAAAGAATGTATATAGGTGATGTTGGATTTGTGTTGAATGTATATACTCTGGTGATAGTGTGTATAGGTTTACCCCCAGATTCTGAATGGGATAGATGAATTGTAGCATCCCGCGTCAAGCCAGTCGCCTGTGATGATCCGCACTGCTGTCTCGTTGCCAAATTCCAGGATGAGACCACCGTTGCTCTCATTGCCTAGGTATACTGGCCATCCGACCGTCTCGCTGACGGTTGACGAGTCCTTGAGGAAGGCAAGCAGGTAGTCTTGCATCGTAGCGGAGGTGTCCACTTCCAACTGTGAGATCTCGCCGACATCGAGGTTGTATGTGCCGAAAATTATCAGCAGGTCGGTCCAATGGAATGCTCCTAGCCATGGGACGGGACTGATGTTGGAGAAGTTGCCTGTCTATGTTAGCACTATCATGAGCATAGGAAGTAGGTGTGGGACATACCAGCCCAGTAGTAGCGATAAGTTTCGAGCCCAATCGACGCACGCAATGCAAGATCAGTCACTGCCAGACAGTCTGATTCGCCTTCTTCAATATTTACCGAAGTCGTGTTTGTGCTGGGGAATTCTCGTGCCGTGTCAGATCGAATTTCCGGCCCCGGGGCAACCTTGCGCTCAAGGTATCGCTGTCGTTCGTCGGAGAAAATGTATCGCTCATCGGCTGATGCTGTTAGTGGGAACAGGCATACAAGTCAGATTGGGACATACGGATATAGTTGGTGAAAGCGATAGAAGGAGAGCTATTGTAGCGGTTGATATACTCCTCAATCTGCACCCAGGATATCCCGCGCATGCACTCCAGCTCGGCCTCGGCATCATCACCATAATTGCACCCTAGTCCCTTGGCCACGATGTCAAAGTCTTGGTACACGTCAGGCGTGGTGGACAGGTTGAGTGTGGCAGATGCTCCCTGGGAGATGACGCCGAACTTGGCGGCAAGAGGCTCTTCTGGCCATGCGAGGGTGTACAGATGTGTCAGCAGGGCACCCTGTGACTGTCCCCATAGCTGCTTATCGTTAGCTCTAGTCATGTGAGAGGGAAACTGTAATCTGACCATGATATTTTCGGGGTTTCCACCAAATGCTTCAATGTTCTCGTATACCCATTCCACGGCAGCACGCACATCCATCAGTGTCAGCGATGTTTCATTCAACGCGCGCGACTTGGGATCTATGCATGTCAGATCAATCAAGACAGCCGAAAGCTAAATACTCACTGCCGAAAATGTTGACTCGATAATTGATGGTAACAACGATATGCTCCTGAGAGCGCGATACCCAAGCGGAGGGAAGCTGGGACGGGATGTTGATGCCCCCCGTGATGCCACCACCTCCCGTAACAAACAGCGCAACTGGCAGCTTGGAGGTCTCATTAGCATACGATGGAGTCCATACCGCTAGAGACAGGCAATCCTCCGACGAGGACCATGCCGTGGATCCCTGGTTGAGCCTTTCGCCGACGGAGAGCAGCAGATTCTCCGGTTCGTATTCATTCCAGAAATCACTCTCTCCCGACACATACTGCGGACAGGCTGATATTGAGTTAGTTGCACAGTCTCATACTTATCTGGAAGTCCACTTGCCTGGACCGTAGAAGGTGGAATCGATCTTCTTGCTTGAGTTATCAAGCCGATGAGGAGGAAGCCATCTCAGATCCCCAACAGGGGGCTGGCCATATCAGAGACAGTACATGATCCACAAAATGAAGGCATTACCTTGGCATAAGGGACTCGCAAAAACTGCCGAACGTCCGGGTAAGTGTCATTCAGCATGCCAATGAACGTCCCTGTGCGTGTCTCCACGGTAAGATTGGACCAGTTGGACAGAGTCCGCGGTTGCTCCCACGTCAGGTTCGCATAGTAGGGCGCATAGGTGCCCAAGGCAGAGGCAGCTAGCCCGAGCAGTCCAAAAGCGACAGCCTGCACCATTATTCTATCGATTCGCCGTTGCTGTTGTCCCATCTACAAGAGCATGGAATTTACGAGCCTTATATAGCCATAACGCGGGGTACCTTCGGCTTCCGGCTATACAAAAAATCTAGACAAATTCACCGTACGGCATGCACCTACATCATTCAGCTAGTTGGTAAACCCGAACAACAAACTTCGATGGCATGATGTAGAGACCTCTGAGGGTATAGTATCTGTGCACAGGATGGAAGCTAAGGAAAAAGTGCCAACCACAGCCAAGTTTGTGGGGGAAATCCGGGGTCCCACCCCCACGCTCCGCGTCTCGGCGTTGGACCAGCTTCGATTGGGAAACTAAGACCGAAGATGAAGCCATTTCAACCTACACGGGTCTAAATCTACTTCAAGTATCGGACCACTGGTCTCCGTTGCTGGTCAAAATTTGTTGAGCTGATGATGCTGACTGGCATTGTGACTGTCATCGACCCCACTTTGGATGGTTGAAAGGTGTCGATTGGGATACAAAATCGGCCCATCTCGTGTACAAGACCGGTCTGGATGACTTCCCAATAACTTCATGATCCTCACATAGAACTAAGGCAACAAGAGGTAAGTTCTTATTCAGTCAGTGCTGACGAAGGGTATATATTGATAATCACTATTCGCATCAGGCGAGGAACAGTCACCCCGGGCCGACAATATGTTTATCACGCAGAACTCCTTGGTCGAACTCTTAACCATATGACCCGATTCATATGCGAACCAACGTTCTCCGAGTCTATCTATTGTTCACTCATGGAGGTCCGGGCGGGCCGGGAGGAGGGGGAGGACCATCGGGCTCGTCGTCGCCGCAACAATCGCAGCAGCATTCGCAGCATTCAAAGCAGCAGACACCAGCACAACTAGACTAGTTAGCACCATCCCCTCATTGGACGCAGAAGACTTACATTCCACAGCAGACTTCTCCTTCACCACCACCGCGGATCTGCAGCTGCATGGACTCTCCAGTGCGCTGTTCTTGTTAATACCTTGGCCGACCTTACGGATGACTTAGCATACCGGTTGCTCAGTAACAATGTGCTCCAGGGAGGGACCGGATGGGCTAGCAGGCTGCTCCATCGTCAGGGTCTCGGGGTCCCATTTGCTTTCAGGCACGGCCTCGGAGGGCCTCAGCCATGACATCAAGCCACTACCGATCATCTTGTGTGTCTGTCTGACGAGTACAGGACGTGCAGGTAACAGGAGAAGGGACTATACGGGTAGGGGGCATTGCCCCTTAAAAGGAGCTCTCAAATGAAGCTACTTCGCCAGGGGCCACAAGGGACGAGCCGCCGTCGAGCTGACCCACCTGCAATCGGGGCGATAATATGGTGTTCTCGAAGCGACGCCCTCGTAATAGGACCCTCAGTAATCCAGCTGCCTGACTTTCACGGCTTCATCTTCAGCCGGGTTACCCGGGACGCATTTGACCTGTCGTCTCTTTTAGATGTGGCTTAGCATCAGGATGCGATAGGTGCTTCGTGACACCATTGGCTTCTTTAATTCCCGGCGCATAGATGCGATAGTACCTGGGACAGTAATTGGGCGCCACTTGCAGCACATTCAATTCGTGAAACGAACTCGCCGTTAGCGAGCGTTACGAAAACAATGTGTCGTGTCCAGGCATGAAGAATGGGCCGGAAGTCAGGAGTAGATGATTATTTGCACCGGTTGACTTGGCACGACCGATCGCCGATGGGTGCCACGCCTTTCAGCATTGCTGTTCCTGAACGTGTCGCACAGTGACGACGGGTGGCTTAGCAGCACAGCAAGTCACTTGACGCTATCGATTATTGGAACTTAGTTTTCGCCAGTGTAGAACAATGCCTAACTAAGTTCGCATTACTATTGTGCTTCCTTCTGTCAGCCTTGAACTGCGCAAAGAAGGATTGGTGGTTGGTCCCACCGGAAAAAGACTCTGCAGCAAGCGCAGACTAACCGTGGACCACATCCCCTAGGCAGAAAGATTCGCAGCCAGGTCCTCTCACCACACTGAATAGACGGAGCCAGGCATAGAGGCTAATAACAATTCAGGTACCTACTTCGGATGATGTCAGACACGTAGAATGATTGCCAATGATTGCAAAAGATCCGCACATGTTTGGGTATGGATTTGTGCAGCGTAGAAGAATAAGAAAGAACCAAGCCAGCCAAGCTTTTCTTGCCCAGCAACGCCGACGTCACCCGTCGACTCACTTTTGGACTCTCCGCCATCTGGGGATGCGCAAGCCGTGGATTGGCCAAGAGATCGGCTCCGAGATAGCCTCAGTGGCAAAGAAGATCTTTCAATAAAATCTCGTGAGGCGGCGATGTTTGAGGGTTGATCTGATTTTCTCATCCGCGCACCCTTCACCCTCATGATGCTCGCGGTCGCATATCTTTGGATTCTCCTGCTGCTGCGGGGAATCCACGTGGGCGCCAAGAGCACGACAAGCATGAGGGAAGCCGAAGTTACCACCATCACCGATGATACCTCTACAGCATCAGTATCGTCCACTCATTCAGGAATTGACAGTGATTCTTTCAGCGTCGTGACCACCGAAACTGCCGTCGTTGTTCCTACCGGCAGTTATCTCAGCTACACCACTACGATTACGGTCGGGGATAGCGTCTCCCAAACAACCTTCACCACCACCACCGCGGCCAATACAACCATTTCTACTAATGGCACCACCACTGCCACCACAACTACGGATACAAATGTCGTCGTCACCGGCACGCGAAACTCCAGTAGCACTGCGACGTCCACTGCGACCACGCCAGCCAACTTGCAGCCTTGCAATGGCTACACCGAGTTCTGCAGCCGACAATACTCGAATATTACCATGGTCACAGCACACAACAGTCCCTTCGTGAAGAAGAACAATATTGCAGCAAATCAGATGTACAATGTGAAGACTCAGCTTGAGGACGGAGTGCGCATGCGTAAGTCTTCTTTTCAACATTAGCGATCTACCTTAACATTAGTGCAGTATCTTTCGAAGCCCACTATTACGAAGATGACATCTACCTCTGCCACACCTCTTGCGACCTCCTGAACATGGGTACCCTAGAAGACTACCTCACAACTGTGACCGACTGGATCAAGGACAACCCATACGACGTCGTCACTATCCTGATCGTCAACTCCGACTACGTCTCCCCCTGGAACTTTACCGCTCCCATCGAAAACTCCGGTCTCATCGACTACGTCTACGAGCCGTGGAAAATCCCCATGAGTTTGGACGACTGGCCTACGCTATCGGAGATGATTATGGGCGGCAAACGCGCTGTTGTCTTCATGGACTACCAGGCCAATCAGACTGCTATTCCGTACATTCTGGACGAGTTTACCCAAATGTGGGAGACGCCGTTCTCGCCGCTGAATACCTCCTTCCCTTGCACGGTGCAGCGGCCCCCTGGAATTACAGCTGCGCAGGCAGAGGAGCGGATGTATATGATCAACCATAATCTGAACCTTGAGATTGTGTTTGAGGGGATCGATATTCTGGTACCGGATTCCGCTCAGATCAATGAGACGAACGCAGTGTCGGGATATGGGAGTCTAGGACTGATGGCGAACAATTGTCGAGGTAAGTTACCATCATCAGCACAGAATATACATGATCCTTTGATATACTAACATCAATCAATAACAGCAAAATGGGATCGTCCGCCCAACTTCCTCCTCGTCGATTACTACAACGACGGCAACTTCCAAGGCTCCGTTTTCGAAGTCGCAGCTCAAATGAACAACGTCACGTACAATGGTAAATGTTGTGGCGGGTCGAGCAGTGCGGCGTCGAGAATTGTTGATGTTCCATATACTTGGCTTTCTGCATTTGTTGCCATGGGTGTTGGTTTGTTTACTCTCTTTGGATTATGATGTGATACCTTTTACACCATTGGATTGATCGATGTAGATAGCATATTATACCATTTTCTTGTAATTAGTTGCTTTTATTTATGTGACAATTGATCCTTCCTACATTTAGAAAAACCTCATTATGTATTTCCCAGGACCGGAAAACGCGGTATATCCAAGCGAAATAAAGTTTAGAGAATAAATGGATTTCCAATAAATCATTCCAGGGTTGCTTCTTCTTCCGCCACAACCTCAAGCAATATCCTCAGTGCAACAATCATACGTTTCCACCAGCTAGCTGCGGGTGCTCTGTAGCGTTTTGCAACTCAAGTGGCATCGGATATAGAATTCCATAATGGAAATTATGACTTCCAGCTTTCTGTGTATGTTCCCGGTGTCTGCGCCAAAAGACAGAGAGATACATCGACCGAACTGGCGATGCATTCTCTGATCCAATATCATCGAATTGTTGTGCTTAGTAGTGTCCACACAAGGGACGTTTATCCTTGACCGTATGCTAGGAATATATCGGTTTATCTTCGCCCATATCTTTTCATGTCTCGATTTCCTTTCATTCGTTTGCTACGCCACCATCGAGTAAACAAGGGAAAACCTTATGTATAATCTCAAGCTTATAAGCAAGATAACTGGCCGTTGGGAATTTGTAGTCAGATGCACATTGTCTATAGGATGCTATTTGTCGTGTTATATTAATTTATAGCCATGGGGGCTAGATAGAGATTTGTAAATTTATTGCACAGAGTACCCGATGCGATATGGTTGAATGTACTGAACGGTATACCGCATCAATTCAGATGGCGTGTCTACCAGAGTGTAGTATATTCAACCATGGTAGTTCTTAGCATTGTAAAAGGCGTCGTTCTTGAATAAGTGTGGATAGCCCTTATAGTCTAATCGTATATATCACATATTTGTCCTTTGACTAACGACAGTGAATAGATTCTCTAATCTCGGTGTTGGTTTCTAATATCAGTTTCAGAGCATCCATATGTGATTGCTTTCATCTTTCTAGACACTCGTAGTGGGGAAGAATACGAAATGAGAATGGAGGAGGGCCGGTGGATGATCTTATAGAGCTGGAGAATGATCTAGTGAAGGAAGTCCAATCAGAGCAAGGAATATCGATTGGTATGCATTGAATAGTTTGAAAATAGTTTGAATGGACATGCATAGAATGAATGGCCTCAATGCTTATCTACATGTCACCCCATATGCACTACACTACAGACTAATTCACCCACTTCATTAATAAGATTATCCAGCCCAGTCTAATTATCCAGCCCATTAGCGTACACTCCTCTACAGGGTACTGACAGTTCTACGTCAAATGGCAGGTCCAGACCGTTGAGGGATCTTCACGATGCATCGAGCTTCGGCCACATGGACTCTGAGAAGGGTATGATCAGGTGCGAACAGAGACGGAGACATTTCCACGTTGAGGCTCGATGCAAACTGCTACTTTGTGGATAGTCTAGAACGTGTCTCACCCCACAGGCCAGATTGGGTTGGGAAAGCATCCGTGGTCGGCAATGATCATCGGTTGGTATGCGGGGAAGCAAGGAGCTACCCCATATTTTTTACCTCATTATCTCGCTTATGTTCTGCATTTCAATTTGTCTCCATCCTCTAGACCATTTAGATGTTAGTACGGTCAGACCAACGATAAAAATTCTTTTTCAGCGTGACCAGAAGATGGCAGACGTAGGGAGTGTACGCTGTCTTAGCCAGCATAAATTTCCACTGGCACATGATCGCTTGGCTGGACGACCCCTCCAGCGTATCATCTCATGGAAGGATGTTACCAAGAACTACAGTGGCGGGAACAGGTAGATGTCCACGTTTATGACTAGCAACTTCCGTCGGGATCCCGTTCTTACTTTTTCCTCCTTTGGCTCCTTTGAGGTTAAAGTCCGAAATGGTGTAACAATGGCCGTCCATGAGCCAAGGCAAGGGACTGTCGGGCTGCTCCGATAGGATCGCGTGGTGGTATCATGACCCTAACATCCTAATCTTGAGGACTGGTTCAGGGTCAATTCCCTCGAGTGATCGATCATTGGTGCCCCCGGTCGAGCCAAGCCGTGAGGTTGCACCCCAGCCTGCCAGCCAAGCCCAACATTCCGCCAGTGCCACATTAACAACTTCCTGTCCCAAGACCTGCCAAGCCACTCCAAATTTCACGCACCAATCCGCTTGTTCTGCCGGGCTTATCGCGGTGGCCATTAGGGAGAGTGCCCAGCTCGAGCTGAGACAAATGCCTCGGATTCGTTCGCTGACATCCCGGAAAACATGACCGAGCGAGTGCCCGGGTCACTGAGGAGACATGAATAATTGCGCTTTGTCGCACAGCCGGCGATAAGGCAGAATCTTGGCACCATATGGCGTGGAGGAACCCTCACTTCCTCCGGCTGTGTCGAGGGTGGCCAGCCGATAGGCTCTTCACACCAAACTCAGCTTGCACTCACCTCCTTCCATGATTGGAGGTGGCACAAAACAAGCGATAATGGTCGGTCACCTCGCGCTCAGACGGGACTTCTCCTTCACTGCACAACCGATCGGCTGTCCAACCTTGGCTTGTCCATTTTAAAGTCGACCATTCCCCTGGGCCTCTTACCCTCCCAACCGCATTCTATCGTTTCCTTCTCCCTCTGCGCATCTGTCCCTGCTGCGCCCATCATGAATCCCTCAGACACTGCTGAAGTGGCAGAGATTGCGAAGTCTGCAGCCTTTGCTCATGATGCGCATCCAGACGAGAAGAGGGATCGAATCTCATCTGAGCTGCGTCCCGCCACCTCACCTGAGATCGAGGAGGTTCGTGAAACCGCTGAGAAAGGCGGGTTCAGTTCGTCGGCCGCATATGAAGACGATGCAGCTCTACAGAAAGACTTCCCTTCTCCGGATGAACTGAGGACTCTACGTCGCGTCTCCGGCAAAATCCCCTGGACAGCCTATACTGTAGCCTTTGTGGAATTGTGCGAGCGCTTTTCCTACTATGGAACCACAGCAGTTTGTACGTCCGTCACTACCCCGCTCTATTCCCTGCTAACATTGACAGTCGTCAACTTCATCCAACGACCGCTTCCTGAAGGTTCATCAGCCGGTGCGACTCATGGTCTAGACAATCTGGTACCCGGTGCTCTGGGCATGGGTCAGCAAGCGTCCACTGGATTGACCTTGTGTAAGTTGCTACATATGCGGAATGACCATCTGCTGACCCATCAGTCAATTCCTTCTGGTCTTATATCATGCCCCTCATGGGCGCCTTCATGGCCGACCAGTACTGGGGTCGCTTCCGCACCATCATGTTCTCGATTGGAGTCGCTTTGCTGGGACATACAATCCTCGTCATCTCAGCCATCCCGCCGGTTATCAAGAATCCACACGGTGCAATTGCTTGCTTCTCAATCGGTCTGGTTATCATGGGAGTGGGAACAGGTGGTTTCAAGTGAGCTCGTTATCACTTTCATAGTGGCCATTATCTAACTGAATTAGGTCAAATATCTCGCCATTGATCGCGGAGCAATATCGGGAGAGCAGGCCGTACATCAAGACCCTCCCCTCAGGAGAACGTGTCATTGTCGACCATGCTGCCACCGTCGCGCGCATCTACCTGTATTTCTACATGATGATTAACATCGGCTCCATCCTAGGACAAGTTAGCATGGTGTATGCGGAGCGCTACGTTGGCTTCTGGCTCTCATATCTTCTGCCCACCATCATGTTCACTTTCTGCCCTACAGTGTTGTTTATCTGCCGCAACAAGTACTATCTGGTTAAGCCAACTGGGTCCGTGTACCTGCAGGCGTTCAGGCTGTGGAAGCTGGCTATGGAGGGGCGCTGGTCGCTGAATCCTGCGAAGATGTAAGTTTCCCCCTGTACACACTGAACTCTGTTCTAACACATGTTAGGTTCAAGAAGAACCCTACCCCCTTTTGGGATTCGGTCAAGCCCAGTGCTCTGGGTGCCAGTCGCCCCCAATGGATGACCTTCGATGATGAATGGGTAGATGAGGTAGCACGTGGTCTGAAAGCATGCAAGGTGTTTCTGTGGTATCCTTTGTATTGTACGTTCATCACCCCCTGATCTCTCTTTGCAGCTCATGCTAACAGTCCAGGGCTGGCCTACAATCAAATGTTAAACAACCTGACCTCTCAGGCGGCCACCATGCGTCTCGGCGGTGTCCCCAACGACATCATCAACAATCTCAACCCGCTCTCACTCATCATCTTTATCCCCATCATGGACCAGCTAGTATACCCATTCCTCCGAAAAGTCGGCATTCAATTCACCCCTCTCAAGCGCATCACAGCTGGATTCATCGCCGCCGGTTTATCCATGATCGCCGCCACCGTCACCCAGTACTACATCTACCAGAAAGGTGAATGCGGAAAACAAGCCAACTACTGCCTGGATGAATACAACTCGCACTCGCCCATTTCCGTTTGGGTCCAAGCGCTAGTCTACATCCTAGGCGGCATTTCCGAGATCTTCGCATCCGTAACCTCACTCGAATACGCCTTCACCAAAGCACCGCGCAACATGCGCTCCCTCGTGCAAGCCGTGGCTTTGTTCATGAACGCGTTCTCTTCCGCCATCGGACAAGCACTCGTGGGACTATCGAATGACCCGCTCCTGGTGTGGAACTACGCCGTCGTAGCGATTCTGGCCTTTGTCGGCGCTGCAGGATTCTGGTTGACGAACTATAAGCTCGATCGTCAAGAGGATGAGTTGAACCATCTGCCACAGAGTCACTATGAAGGTCGCCCCGAGGGACATGCTGATGAAGAGCAGCGATAGGATGCGTGCTGCTTGAAAGATGAATTCACGTACTAGGTAGTTAACACATAATTCAAACCCAGTATATGTTTACGACCACTCATATGAATTAATACTATATTTTCGCTCATATCCTCCTTCTCAAAACCTGGATCTTGATTCACACCCGCCTTATTTATGCCTACAAGATGAATCTACAGATATTACACACTACGCAAGAAACATATTAAGCGTCGCACAAGCAGTCAATTAGGTGTCAGGCAAGTAAGTGAAAAAGCAAACTAATAGAGGGAATCAACCAAAGCCAAGTAAATCAAAACAGGAAAATCACAACAT